TTTGTTTGTTTGTTTGTTTTTTAAAGATAAATATTAAGTGTTTGAATTATTCTATGGTAGCTCTTAACTGCCCTAATTTCTAGCTTAAAAAAAAAAAGAGAACTGCTTAAAGAAAGGTAAAAAGGCTGATATGAATCCAAGGGTACTTTACAGTAACATTACTGTTTTGTGATTTTAAAGCTCTCTTTTTGTAATCACCACCACCACAACAACAAAAGCCTGCTTGATAAATTATGGACCCAAATCTCTAGTTTCAGTGACACAAGTTGCAACAATGTTGTTTGTTCCCTTGCATCCTGTAAGAAAGAACCAAACAAAACTCTGACTGTAATAAAGACAGGCACAGTGTTGATTCTGCTTGCCTCTAAGTTGCTCTGTGAAACTGCTGTGGAGAGGTAGAGACTTTTGAGCACCTTCAGAGGTGAGAGCTTACTGTATGAGAAAAGAACCTTGATTTAGAAATGCAAGGGAATTGGGTTCTGACCAAGCAAACCTCTTTTTGTTTGTTTATTTCCTTTTACTGATTTTTTTCAAGCACTCTCTTATCGTTCTATGACTCAGTGTCTGTATTTCTAAAATAAGCATGGTAATCTCTGCCTTTCCTACTTGCGAATAAGCTCAGTAGCGTTATAGACCATAAAGGGTATAAACGATATCAGAAGCTATAAAGCATCACAAACTTTGTGCTGCATGAGATAATGTTAGAATCATTTCCATTTCACTTACAGGGAAAACCAGTTCAACCCACTAAAATGGGCTTGCCTCACTTCTCTCATCTGTAAAATGGGACTAATGATAATAACTCCATCTACTTCAGTGAGTTGTGAGGAAAGCATAATAGATGTGAAAGTACTTTTAAAATGAATGTACACTCATTTGTACATTATTAGTTTAAGTAAATAGAATTACTTGTACTTCACAAACACTCCTGAAGAAAATAATGTGCAACTAAAAATACTCAGCATCTTTGATTTACTAATTAAAGAAACCTTTTAAAAAATGAGTATTTCAAAAAGAACAATGGAGAGACTGAAGGTGTTGCTGCATTTAGGGAATAAAATTAAAAAGAATATTCAAGTTGATGCTCAGTAAGTGTTTTTGGAATACTGTTGGCTGTCTTGTAGAAATAGTGTTCACTAAATGCATCTTTTAATTTTATTATTATTTTTTCAATACTGGGGATCAAACCAAAGCCTCTTTCATGGTAGGTAGATGCCCTGCCACGGAGCTACACCCTAACCCTATTGCGTTCATTTAAAATGTTAATATTGGACTAATGTTTATTGACTCCATATTGTGCACCAGGTATTTTCAAATATATTATTTCATTTTATATATTTTTTTCTTCCCTCCAGAGCTGAAGATAATATCAGCCCCACTTAAAAGTTGAGGAAACTGAGGATCAGAGAGGTTACTGGGCTTGCCTCAGGTGAAACAGCAGATCCAGACCTGAGACTCTCTGACTTCTCTTCCCCACTCCTTCCTGCCTTTGCTCTGGAACAGTACTGTGGGTTCCTCCATTCAGTCCTGGGGAATAACTCATGGTATGAAATCCACACTCAGAGCAGCAAGCCATCAAGTTTTGTTTAGTAAACAGCAGAAGTGGAATGTGGTAGTTGTGAAGAATCCAGATAAACAGGTACTTCACAGCCACAATTTTGTGTCTTCATCCATGAATTCCAAATGGCTTACAAAATATGGCTCTGACTTTTAAACTGTACAATTTCATGTAAAAAGAACTCAGCTACTTTTCCTTTATTTCCAGAGCCAATTTATACCTTTTCAAAAAATAGAAATGATTAATTATTCAATGTTAGGGGTTAAAAAGAGACAGAAAGAAAATTATGAGTTAACAAGAGATCTTAGCAATGCAGGTCATTTAAATCTCTTGAGAGGTATCAGCCCTTTAAGAATGATGACCTGCTGTTACCTCACATAATAAGTTAATCTTAAAAAGGCATTTATCCCTGCTGATGTGATAGTTTTTATAAGACTGGTTTAGTGAACTGGATGTCTTTTTAATGTGTGAATTTTGGTATGCTATGTTTACCAGGAATTTTAATTACTTAAGTTACTTTGAAATGACACCATTGTAAACTACCAAGTCTGTTTCACTGCACTTTATTTGCTGGTAAGATTTTCAACTTTAAGTTTTAGAACCAAGAAGAAAGAGAAGAAAAAAGCATGAAAACAGGTAAGCCACCAGGACCTCAAATGTATGTATCTGGTTAGGCTATTTCATTTCCAATTATCTAAAAGGTGATATTGACAATCTATTTTGTGACTTGTTCAAGTCAGTTTTAGTGAATATTTGTAGTATTCTGTTCTCTTGAGAATTCATGTTTGCCTTGAACTACATATATCAATTAACACTACGATCTTTTACTAGAGTCTTGTAAATGGAATTATAAAACTCTTATTCAAACATTCATTTATTTTCCATTTTATATACTTTTGGAATAACAGATTTTTGTCTTCCTTAATAAGCAGTTGAGTTTAACCCAGAAAACCTGAAAGCAAAATTAGTGCCTAGTATTTAATCTAGCACTGACTGAAGTTAAGGCTCTTGCCCAGTGACTTTTAAAGAGACCAACCCTGGTGGCTGAATTATGATACCATTTACCAATGGGAAAATCTGGTTTTAAGAAAGAAGTTTATTCTTAAATAAATGAAAGTTAGCTCACAGATAGGGAAAAGCAGATGGAAAGTGCCAGGGGAATCTGAAATTCGCTCAGTTACTGTCTCTTTCTTTGCCATTGTATTTCGTGACAATTTCTTGAGCAATCAAAAGTAAGCCTTCCCCCCACAGGCATGGAGCTAACAATCTTTGACAGGGAAATTATAGCCACTTGTGAAATAAAAGGGTGGTACACAGTGGAACACTAGTGACCCTCCTAGAGGCACAGATGCTTTTGGACTTTTGGAACCCAAGAAAAGATCAGAGAGGGCTGCAGTCTGGAGAAAGCTGGCTGTTACTTTTAGATTGGAATCCCAAAGACTTGGTTTGCAGACATCGAATTTCAAGGGTGATTATAATTATGAAGAGGGTTAGGTAGACAAGGAAAAGACAATGGAAACCAGAATTCCTTTTAGAATTTCATTAATTACAAACTTGTCCTTGTTTTGTTTCTGCTGTTTTAACATGTTAAGAGACTATGTTCTTTCCTGAAAAAACATTGATTTAAAGGTCTGGTTTTCTCAGATACCCTGGCTTTTCGCTGCTGCTGTTTGAATGAGAGTGCTACTACCTCTGCTTGGCAGCTGGGTGCTTCCAAAGCACTTGGAGAGCCCCAGTCCCTCTTGCTTCCAGAAGATAGCAATTTTGCCTTTCCTTGACAGTCCCACCTCCTGCAAACCAGTCCCAATATGAGCTTACTTCAGCAGACATCAAACCTTGAGCACTAGGGAGATGTCTGTCTAGTTTTTGGTAACCACTATCACACCAAATGAGACCAAGAGAAGTGTTACAAGAGTGTTATGAACAAAGTGTTGAGGGTGATGTTAATTCTGTGCAGGGGTCAAGAAAGAGCATAGAGAGGAGGTGACATTTTAGAGCACACTAAAGCAAGAACAGTTTGCTAGCTAAGGAAGGAAGAGAAGGATGTGCATTACAGGCAGAGGTGTAGCATAGCAGTAGTGTGGAGGTGAAGAATATTCAAAGTAGGACAAGTGGTTGCCTATAGGGTTATTGAATCCCTAACAAGTAAGTGTAAGAAAGATCATGATCCGTACAATGCATCAAAAAAGCTGCAACTGCCAGGCATGGTGGTAAATGCCTGTAATCCTAGCTACACACAAGGTTTAGTCAAGAGGATCTCAGTCAGAGGCCCAGTGGGGCAAGAAAAGCAGAAGACTATCTGAAAAACAAAAAAAAGTAAAGCCAAAAAAAGGACTGGGAGCAAGTTCAAATGGTGAAGCATCTGCCTAGCAAGCAGGAGGCCCTGAGTTCAAACTTCAGGACCACCAAAAGAAAAAATAAAAGTTACAACTATCTCCATTTCTGGATCATTTATAATCTAGAAAGAGACAAGACTTGGAAGAAATGTCCAGCTGTTCACTGTGTGTTCAGCTCCATTATAGTCACTGTGGAAGACAAGTGAAGGCCCTTGCCTAGAAATTAGATCATTATCTGGAAGAAAAATAAGTTACACTAAAATTAAGTATATATAATGTCATATATATATACATATATATGACAGTGTCTAAGGGAAAACATTAGGTTGCTTGAAACTCAAGCCCAAGAAACTGCCCTGGAATCAATCCCCTATGGCTGTAGAGGTGCTGGAGGCCAGCAGGAGAAGAGCTGGCCGGTTTGGGATTCCTTCAGGAATTAAGGCGATGGCTCAAGCTTACAGAGCACGTCTGATGCACCAGGCTTCAGATCAGTCAATTAAATACCCACCGTTTCTGCACTTGAGAGAAACACCTGCCTCCAGTTTACATGAAGGGAAACAGAGGCACAGATTCCAATTCACAGAAATCGCTCAGTCTTTCACAACTTAGCATCCTCCACATCTAGCACAGTACCGGGTGTTGAAACTTAAAAAAAGTTTCCTTGAAAATTTATTTCCAAGATATTCCAACTCAAGTCAAAATACAGCCTCGAAAGCCCAAAATGTTTAAATCAGAAAAAAGAATTTTGATTGTACAGCCCTACTTTTTTTTTTTTTTTTTTTTCCTGACCCAAGGCCCGCAAGAAAGTTTCCTTTTATTTATATACTTTTTCCTTTTTGTGACAAGTTGGTGTTTCTGAACGCTAGGGGCTCCCGGATTCTCTGGTTCGAGTGTAACTTTTCCTTTTAGGATTTTTTTTTTTTTTTTTGGAAGGGGGTGGGGGGAAATGTGGCCTTAATTATTCTACGTTTTAGGAAGGGGCTGTGCTTTCGGAATCCCATCAGAGCCAAGTAAGGAGGTCCCTCCCCGCCCCCCGCCTCTTTTTTAAAGGAGCTCGTGAAATAAAAGTGCAGAAAACAAACCCAGCGATCACAGCGGCGGCCGCGGCGGCAGCAGCCACAGGAGGAGGAGCGGGAGCAGCGGGAGGAGGAGGAGGAGGCAGAGCTGGAGTCGTAGGCTCTGCGGACTTCAGGGCTCCGCGCGCCTCAGGGCTCCGCGCGCCTCAGGGCTCCGCGCGCCTCCATTCATTTCGCAGCCAGCTGCGGAGGAAGGTGGCCGGACGCCTGCGTTGCCCACTCGCGCACTCGCGCGCGCAGACCCACGCTAAGCCCCGCGTCCCAGGCAGCACCGCTCTGCAAAAGTTCCTGCTCGGAATTTGGCTCTCTTCCCCCTTGGACTTTCGAACGATTTGGGGTTGAGAAAGGAAAGCAGAGGCGCCCGGAGGGGGGAGAGCAGAGATCACACCACCGTCTGCACTTGGACGCAGGCAGCCTGGCTGCGCTCTCCCGAGCAGTGGAGGTCAGGAGCGACCCGGGTGCCTGAGTAGCTGTGTGTGTGTGTGTGTGACTGCTGTCGCCGGGCGTCTTCGCGGGGCGGGAGGCTCGCGCCGCAGCCAGCGCCATGCAAAACTACAAGTACGACAAGGCGATCGTGCCCGAGAGCAAGAACGGCGGCAGCCCGGCGCTCAACAACAGCCCGAGGAAGAGCGGGAGCAAGCGGGTGCTGCTCATTTGCCTGGATCTCTTCTGCCTCTTCATGGGTGAGCCCAAGTCCCACTGTCCCTCTCTCCCTGCACTCCTCCCCCTGCCCCCCGCCCCCTCTCTCGGCCTCTGCGCGAGTCCCAGCTCGGCCCGGGGCCCTGCGCGGGGCTGCGCTGCGCAACGCTGTCAGCTCTTGGTCCCTGCAGCCTTCTCCAGGCGCCTTTGAGCCATTCTGTTCCCGCGTCCCGTCTCCCCTGTCCCCACAGACTTCCCGGTCGGTACGTTAGCGTTTGGGCGTGCTTGTGCGTTCACGGGCAGCTGTAACCAGCTCCCCAAAAGTCGCCTCCAGCTGGGAGCCCGGGCGCAGCCCCACGGAAGGGGTGGGTTCGATTTTGAGCCTAGGACAAGTAGTTTTAGCCGCGATCTGGAGGCAGCGTAGAGCTTGTCGCCCTGCATCCAAGTCAAGTGGATGTTGGTGAGAGCCGGGTTCCTACGGGGGCCGCGCTGCCCGGCCCCGGCTGATGTAAACATCCAGCCCTTCCGCCACGGCTGCCTCGCCACGCCAGTCTCGCAAGCTGCAGTTTTACTTGTTGCTTTCCGGAACGCCCCCTGGTTGGGACAGTGCTTTCCCAGGCTTGGTGCTGGTTACCGAGTCAGCCATCGCTTCTTGAGCGCCTACTGTGTGCTAGGTGATAGGCGATTTCACGGGCATCCTTTAGACTAACCGTTTTTCTCCCTGAGTCTGTCTGTGCAGTCGGGGTCAGAAGCCCTATTTCACCCAAAAGGACACTGAGCTTGTTTAGGGATCACAGTTTAATTGCGCTGCCAGAAAATTGAGGCTCTATTCTACTAATGTTTTGTAAAGTAGTTGGAAGCTACAGTTTAGAAAGCAGTGGTAGTTGAAGGACTTAGACTGGGAGGGTAAGGAGGATTTATTGAACTGGGCGCTGGGGAGGGGGAGCTATTGACGGATTCTACTGGACTTCAAGGTTGAAGTCAGTGTAGGACTTTTTTTTTTTTTTAAGCGGATTATAGTGTAATGGAAAGCGTACAAAACTTGTCACCAGAACACTGCCACTCTGCCACTTGCTGGGTGTGCCATCTAACTTCCTTCGTGGCCTCAGTTTCCTCCTCAGTTGAATGAGTGGGTTCAAGTAGAGGCTCTCCAAGTCCCCTTCCTGCATTAAGAACTCGGATTTGGTCCAGGAGCTGTTCTGCCAACTCTGCTAACTAAAGAAACATCTGTGTTCCCAGTTCAGTTCCCTTACAATAGAACTGCACGGAGACTTGAGTCCCCTTCGAAATGGATTGGTCCATGCAACTGCAGACCAGAGACTTCTTAGGCTGGAGTTACATTTCTCTGGATTCAGGACTCTTTTCTGAGGCGGTGTTCTAAATGCACAGTGTCCTCTTGTCCTACTGTCCACCGAAAATTTTGAGAGCCGAAGAAAGATGGGATTCCTAGAGTTTAGAATTAAGAATGGCCCCTTCAGATAAGGAGAGACAGCGGAAGTAAAATTGTGCGCTTTGGAAAGGAAGAAAGGTCTCCATAGTTCAGGTGGTGTTTCCAGCTCTCCGAAGGTTAATTCAACTTCAGGATGCTATGTAAAGGAATTGTCACTGGGGGCCTGCCTTCCTGGTGGCGCCTGGCTTATTATCATGCACAGTGGGACCGATTAGTACTTAAGGTCTTGTAACTAAGCTGTTGAATTAAAAAAAAAAAAAAAGAAAAAAGAAAAGAAAACCCTTCCCAGGTCCGGGGGGAGTACATCGAAACTGTAAACAATGAAGCTGTTTACAGTAAATAAACTTGCCTAGGGCTTCCCAGTGTTTACTTGGGAGTGTTGTAATGGTAGGATGAACTCTTTCTAGGCTGCCTGTGTGAGGTACCTCCTGCCTCCTACTTTGAGATTTAGAAAGGTAGAGCTAAAACATGCCTGACAGCCTTTGGACAATTTCATTGTTCTTTCTTCTACTCATCCTCCTGATTTCAGAAGGCATTCCCAAGAGATAGAGCATTCTTATTAGAGGAAAAAGAAGTGTGAAGGAATTTGCAAAAACATAAACTCATCAGCTATAGGTTAGCCAGACACATAGAAACACCAAGATATTTTGTTGTGTGTTCAAGGTGAAAGTAAGAGGTGTGTGTGTGTGTGTGTGTGTGTGTGTGTGTGTATTTCAGCTCTTAATTTGCTCCACCTCTCCCCATGTCCCCCCAAAGCTAAATTGCCAGACCTGTTCATTGCATTTGTTCACTGTTGGTCTTACATTTGAACAAATGATTTTGTTTACCTCAAAAATGCATTCAGACATCAAGACCATGATTTTATTATAAGAGATACCTTTTGTAAGGGGTATGTCTTGCCATTAAAACTCTGGCACCAAAGTCATTTTCAGAGTCAATTATTGACTCCCCTGAGCACAAACTACATTACAATATCAGAAATTAAGTGCCTTCTCACACCTTTAATAGATAAGATAAACAGATATCTTGAGATAGTTATGCAACAGAACTCTTTGGTTTCCAAAAGAAGAATTAATAACACATGTGATTTTAATATTCCACACACTAAAGTCCTAAAAACATTGTTTCTACTTGGTTAAGTTTTTGCCTAAGACTGTCAGTATGTTTTAATTTTAATATAGTTTATTGATCATATGGTCTGGATTACAGAGTACTAATATATTAAGAAGAGAGACAGTTTTCTGTTTATTTCCCCACAGGAATATATACCAAACTTCATCGCCTAGTATCTGGAAAAAATAAAAGCTGATGTGCTATGAAAGTGTTATGTAAGTGGAAATATGCAAGTAGTGTAACTTGTTTCGCATACCTTTTGGGAATGTTAGATTTGGGTGAAAAAACAAAAGTCCACTCTTGCTTGAAGGCCAAAAGAATAGACATCAGAGCACACCACTGGGAGCTTACCTCTCATTGAAGAGCTATTTTTGTTGCCTGATTGCTTTTAAGTAGAATTATGAATCTTTGCATGGCAGTTTTTTTTTAATTCATTTTGATTTTGTTCGAATTAAGTGCCTCTATTACCACCTGTTTTGTACACATTGTTCTGGGGTATGACATTCCTGGAGAGAGGCAGAGAAGATTCCCAGGCAAAAAAAGAGGACCACCTCTGTCTTTCTAAGATCTATTAAGCCTCTTTTTAAAAATGTAATTTAATTTCTGTACTCTTCACTGTAACTCTATGAAGACATTCTCTTCATTTTATAGACCAGAAAACCAAGTCTCAAAGAAGCAAAGGACAGACTCACATGAAGTCAGTTTGGGTTCATCCCTGATTCTCAGTTTGAGTGGATTCTTTTTACTCATTAGAAAAATCCTGAAACTTAGATTCTCCTCAGAAAATTCTGAAGCTCAGTTTGCAGAAAGTTCTGCCTCTACAAGCTCAATCTGCAGAAAATTCCCAGGTACCCATTTGTACCAAAGCAGATGGATAAAGGAGGTAGGACTCTTCCGGCCAGTGATACAGAGTTTGAGTGATCTGCAACCATTCAATTCAATTTGGTTGTTCCATAACATTTTTTGATTTGCAATTAAATAATTGAATAAAATTTAGGTCTGGTTCCATATCTAGGATACATAGAGTTATGTATTAATACCGTACTTTTTAATAATGAAAGGGGGGAGATGTAGTTGGAGAGAAGAGAATTTGGAGTCAGAAGCTTCAGGTTCCAGATTGGTCAGTGCCTCTTTCTAGTCACATGGTTGCGGACAAGTTGTTTATCTATGGGTTGCAATTTTTTTCCATCAGCAAAATGTCTGGTTGAATGGGATTAAAATCTCAAGCTACCATCGAACATGCTGGGACCGAGGAGAGGAAGGACACATTGGCCAATGTCTACCTTAGGGGTGCACCTTGCTGAGCTGCTCACTGTACAGTAGCCCTGGAAACCATCACAAAAATGAACATCCCAGAGGCATGAGTCATAGTCTTGTGCTGACATTTCATTGCTATATAATTTGGGGAAAATTCACTTGATCTTTCTGGACTTTAATTTCCTTATCATTGCAATGAAAAAGAGAGACTAGGTCATTTATGATTTCTTTTGTGAGTCTGTGAGTAGAAACTCAATCTTTGCTTCTCTGAGAAGACCATTTGTCATTAATCAAATTGCTGTATGTCTAACCAAAGAATTAAGGTTGTCATTTAGCCTAAGTTGGTGTTAATTCTGGTGGGAGGGTAAGCATTGTTTTTATAAGAGTTAATCCAATATGCTGAGGAACCAGCTAGAGTTTTCCCTTGCCAGATGTGTCTTTTCACCTGCTCCTTGGAATTTCTAGTAATCACAAGCAAACGAGTAAGCAAGCAACAGGTGGCTTTTACCTCTTTTTTGCTCAGTTATTACATTCACTAAATATGTATTTAAATAACTCAATAAAGCAGTTTTGGTCTTGATGACTTAATGTACCATTGAACCACAGACTGTAGAAAGTGGATTTTCATTAATCAACTGTTGAATTACCTAGCTAAAATCCTGCACTATAATAAACATGGAGGCCACCTGTATTTAATAGCTAACGCTCTGCTGGCTTTTCTAGGATGGTGAAAAATCTCTGTTCCTCATTGTTCAAAACTGCTGAATCCCCCCACCCCCCTCCATGAACATTTTCTTACCTTTGTGGGAGACTACTCAGGACTGAGTTGGTGGGCCCTTTTCCACTTTTGCTTTTGATTGCCTGTCAATTTAGTTTGGTCCTTCCTCTTCCAGTGCAGTTGTTTGGGCCAGCAAGCCCAGGTGGTCACAGCATGTGCTAATGAGACCCTAGTGAAGGGCTTCTGTCTTATATGGGCGGATGTATTTATGGACTGTCCCGATCTTGTGTGTCAGGTACACTTATCTGAGTGGTAATCATCAGTTTGGGGCGGGACATGCCTGGTGGGTCAATATTTCATAAACTCACTTGATCAGAAAACCATCTGCTGTGAAATACAGACTCTCAGACTTCCTTCCAGGAAATTCAGATTCTGTAGGCTTTGCCCCAGGACCTGAGATTCTGGGTCTTTGTATTTTATAAAATCTTGGGCTGATTCTTATCTGG